TAGCAGCAAATTTGATCAAAAACCTACAGCAAAACCATAGCCTTCTGTGTCTACATTAGGCTACGGTTTTGGCGACAGATCTTGCTGTCGGGCAATTGGTGCCAAATTTACAGCAAAAACCGCGCAAAGCTTGCAGCGCAGCAAGGTCTGCGCGGTTTCTGCCGTCAATCTGCCGTCAAATCGCTACAAGCTCTGCGCGGTTTTTGCTGCAAATCTGCAGCAATTATCCGACAACAAGCTCTGCCGCATATCTAGTGGCAATTTGGCAGCAAGATTTGATATAACAAATCCTGCATCAAATTTGTTATCTATTTGCCATAAAAAAATTGATAGTGAAGTTCTGCTCGAAATCTGTTCGCGCAGGTTTGGCTATCTGGGTATAGAGCTATAAGAAAATGTACATGAAATTGTAAATACAGCTTGATATATATATTTAATGTTCGATCATGAATCAATTTCTCTAGCGTAAATTCGTGAGTCGGTGATAATCGTTATAGATACATGCTGTTTATTGCAGTCTATATGTTACAAACGCAATTTGATGGACAAATCCATCGTGTCTATTATAATCAATGGTGTATTAATAGTAACGATAGAAGAAACTTAAAGTTCTCTGTATTATATTGTACTGTCTTATATTGTTCTCTACATTACAGGTATTTATTTTCGAACGCAGAATCCGTATAATTACGATTGAACTTTGCTCGTCTAAGAGAACTCGTTTAATCGATAAAAACTTAAGAGTTTAAATTGCATCGCAATGAATTGCATAAATGGGAATGATAAAACTTTTTTTACTTTTTTTTTAAGTAATTTTAGTTTTATATCACATCTTTTTTACAAAATAATATTAAGCACTAAAAACGAGTTTCTTTGTTAATAAATTGATTCATTGAACTTGAATATTGTAAATTTATTTATAACGATTCTTTTTTGTTTATTTGACAGAATGTACTTCATATACATTACAATAATAATTGATCTCACAAACGCTTTGACGTTTTTATCATTCCCATTTATGCAATTCCTTGCGACGCAATTTAAACTCTTAAGTTTTTATCGATTAAACGAGTTCGCTTAGACGAGCAAAGTTCAATCGTACTCTCTTAAAATAAATCAGTCAAACATCGCTGAAAACATATACACTGATTGCTGTTATAAATATAGCACTGAAAGTGCTTAGTGCTGTACTCATAACTGATATCAGTAAATACCCAGTAAACATGCATGTCTAAAAGATGTCGAAAAGATATCTAAAAGATATCTGATGCAACATTTTGTTGCATGAGACGTCTTTTAGATATCTTCTCGACATCTTTTAGATATGCATATTTACTGGGTAGTTACGTTATGTTCTTCTCCAGGACGTAACAGTAGAGAAACCAGAAGTTAAAACATAACACACACTTGTAAAAATAAAAATAAAAAAAATATTTACTGAATTGGAATTAATAAATCCCTGAAAACCTTATTCATTTGTTTTAAGTGGACTAAAGCATTACGTACAATAAAACACTCAATTGTCAAAATAAAAAAGCATGATTCCCTTTCAAATTAAAATTTATTTGGCTAGATATAAAGATAGGATTGCTTTTTTAATAAATATTCTTAAAACTAATAAATTATTTATTAGATTTGACATTACATAAAAGGAATTGTAAAAAATGTTTACTTATTTAATTATTTTATATATTATTTTCAAATGTTGCATGATTATATAAAATTGAGTAACTATTTATCAAATTTGAATAAAAAATTTTTCACTTTAGAAAATTTTTCTTTATTTTTCTTTCTTGAACGGTTCTTCAAAAATTTCTTCAAAAATTCATGTGAGAATACATAATACTTAGGAACGACTAAGTTGCTCTTTCAGTGATACATCACATTTTAAATCCTTACCTTTTGAAAATTCTTACTGGCACTGGTGGGACTCGAACTTGGACCCGTGAGCTACCTTTGGATTATGAGTCTGTTGCTAAAGGCACTACACCACTTCTTCAATCAATATAAACGTCTTACATTTTGTCTATACGTGTTGTAATGTGTTGTAAAGTAAATTAATAATTAGTTTGAAAAAATATTTGTTTAAAGCTTTTTCCTGAATTTAAATATATTAAAAATATCCGAGTATTGAACGTATGTTGCCCGCGAACTGTTCAATGATAATAAAGATTTATTATCATTATTTATTATAATTAATATTATTAGTACATACACATAAACAAGCATAAAGAGTGAATACGAGTCCCAACTTGTTACTATATGATTTGAAGTATTTATGGCAATTGTAAGTAATCGAAAACGAAAAGCTTGCGTACACTTCAATTTCGGCCAAAAATTACAAAGAAATTATAGATTTCTTCTATATATTATTTTATATATAAAATTATATTATATTATTATTATATAAGGTGTAGTAAAAAGAAATCCATTATTTTTCCAATAGATGGCTTTAGTAATATGTATCTCGCGTTGTATAAGTGCGATCGGTTTATGCTAGATGGCGTTAGAAAGATATGATTTCGTATTAAAAAAACTTCTCAGACAGTTTTGTGATTGTTTGACTCAGTATTGTTTGAGTGCACGTCAAAGATGGATACCAGCAAAGAGAAAATACGCCATATTTTACAGTTTTTCTTCGATAAAGGCGAAAACACAAGCCAGGCGGCTGAAAATGTGAATAGTGTTTATGGTCCTGATACTGTAATAGCCAATCACGCGCAATTTTGGTTTCATCGATTCCGTTCCGGTAATTTTGATGTCAAAGATGCACCACGCTCTGGAAGGCCAATTGTCGAAAATGTCGATAAAATAATGGAAATCGTCGAGTCCGACCGTCATGTAAGCACTGTTTCGATTTCCCAGGAGCTAAACATTGCACAAAAAACCGTTTGGAACCACTTGAATAAGGCTGGATACAAAAAGAAGCTCGATGTATGAGTGCCACACGAGTTAACGCAAAAAAATCTCATGGACCGAATTTCCATCTGCGAATCGCTGCTGAATCGCAACAAAATCGACCCATTTCTGCAGCGGATGGTGACTGGTGATGAAAAGTGGATCACTTACGACAACGTCAAGCGAAAACGGTCGTGGTCGAAATGCGGTGAGCCGGCGCAAACGGTGGCCAAGCCAGGATTGACAGTCAGGAAGGCTTTGCTGTGTGTTTGGTGGGATTGGCAGGGAATCATCCACTATGAGCTGCTCCCCTACGGCCAAACTCTTAATTCGGACCTGTACTGTCAACAATTGGACGTTTGAAGGAATCAATCGCCCAGAAGCGGCCAGCTTTGGCCAATAGGAGAGGAATTGTGTTCGATCAGGATAACGCCAGACCACACACATCGATAGTGACTCGCCAGAAGCTCCGGGAGCTTGGTTGGGAGGTTCTTATGCATCCACCTTATAGTCCGGACCTGGCACCAAGTGATTATCACCTGTTCCTGTCTATGGCGAATAATTTTGCTGGTGAAAAATTCGCCTCAAGAGAAGCTTGTGAAAATTGACTGTCCCAGTTTTTTGCCAATAAGGACAAGGGTTTCTATGAGAGAGGCATAATGGAATTACCTTCAAAATGGCAACAAGTTATAGAACAAAACGGTGCATATTTCATCTAAATCGGATCATTCTAACTATGCTAAATAAAGCCTTCAATTTCATGCAAAAATAATGGATTTCTTTTTACTACACCTTATATTATATTATTATATTATATTATTTTATATATAAAAATTTCAAATTATATTTAAAACAATTCTTTTTAATTAATATTTGTTTAGACGTAAATAACAATGAAATAAAGTAAAAAAATATATCCAATCTAAATAAATATATTTATTCAAATGTTTTAGTTATAATAACTTTTTTTATTTTTTAAATTGTAATGAGCAATAATTCACTTTAAAAATATATTTAATAAAATTGAAGAAATATTGTATGCAACGTGAAATTATTTTGAAACAAATAACGAATAAATGTTATTGAGATAACCGTTGCTCAAATTGAATAATTTATTCTTTTCAACTGAAAAATATAATATTTTCAAATTGAGAATATAAGTTTAAATTAATATTTTTTCAAACCAATTAATTATTTTATTCAATAATAATACACTATTTTGTAAAAATTATTTTACTCAAATTGGAAAAATGTTTGTCTGAAAATATCAAATTCTATTGATATCGTTTATTCAAATTAAAGAAAATATTTTCTTAATTACTATTTTTGGATATTGTAAAAAAGAGTAAAATATTTATTTAAGAGGTAAAGCTTTGCAATTATACAGTTAGCTCCAAATTATTTCCGACTAACCTTGATATTGATCTTGACTCTCAGGGAGGTCAATGCTATTGATCTTTGTTGGCGCTCAATGTTCGTTAAAAAGTTATTAACAAAAGTAGTTGCATAAAATGAATGTAATTTTTGGACACCGTATATACAAATACATTGAATTTGTAAGCTAGGACGATGCCTGCTACACACACACACACAGACACACACACTACTTGGGAGCTCGCAGTGGGTTCGATGTTTGTACATATAAGTTAGAAGTGTACCACAGAATAATAACTTTTTTTATTAATATATAACTTTTTAACGAACATTGAGCGCCAACAAAGGTCAATAGCATTGACCTCCCTGAGAGTCAAGATCAATATCAAAGTTAGTCGGAAATAATTTGGAGCTGACTGTATAATTGCAAAGCTTTACCTCTTAAATAAATATTTTACTCTTTTTTACAATATTCAAAAATTGTAATTAAGAAAATATTTTCTTGAGCTATAGTATTGAGGGTCAATAAAGGTTACTGAGGGTCAATGTCAATATCAAGGTTAGTCAGAAATCATTTGGAGCTGACTGTGTAATTGTAAACCTTTACCAAACCTTAGTTAAACTAGTTAAAGTTTAAATTGCGCCACAATAAATTGCATATATGGGGATAGTCAGAAATGTCAAAAACGTCAAAGACGTCAAAAACATCAAAGATCATTGCGCGTGAAATCATCGCGCCACTCATTATTGTAAAATATGCATATTTCTATGCAAATGTGTAATTTTGCGATAACGATAATAGATAATATATAAACTCATGTTTCTTGAAGTTCAAGGGTGTTGTTTGATAGTTATTAGTAGCTACACTACGTCGGAAGTAAATAATCTCGTGCTACTTGCTTCGCGTGAATATATATCGATATATTGGATTGTATGAAAATTCAAAATCGATTTTTTGTAAAGTCTACGTTTCTATGTGTAAAACAATCTTATATTTTTCTCATGTATGCAGAATGTCCAACGAAAACTACGTATGAAGGTAAAGCACGCTAATTAAAGAGACTCCTGGCATTTTACAAACAACTAGGTGAAATTTCGAGATATTGCTTGATGAAAAAAGATTAACGAATCAGAGAACGCGATGTTGTTGGATGAATTCTGTTAGCGCAAGATCTCATCAAAACGGTTTGAAACGCGATTGTTTCTTGGTGACACGGGCAGGACGCGCTCACCATACGTCGAAAAACAATTATTACTGCGCTGCTCGCATCCATTTTCAATAAGATCTTGCGCTTATACAATCCATTCCACTACATCGTGCGCTTAAACGAGTACATCTACACTGAGAAAAAAATTTAGTCAATTTGAAAAAAAATAATTTGTTTTGAATAAATGATTTTCTAAAATGTTACTAATGGCGTATTTATTTGATTTAGAAAGAAATATTAATCAAGATGAAAAATTTTTTGCTGAAAAATAATGAATTATTGATTAGATTGAAAATATATTTGGTGAAATGTAAAAGATAATTATTTATTTAAGAAAAAAAATTAATTTAATTGTTGTAAATATTATCTTGCTCAAATGAAGAAATTATTTACCAAATTTGAAGAAATATTTGTTTAATGTAGAGAAACCAGAAGTTAAAACATAACACACACTTGTAAAAATAAAAAAATACTTACTGAATTTGAATTAACAGATTCCTGAAAACTTTATTCATTTATTTCAAGTGGACTAAAGCGTTACTTACAATGAAGCATCCAATTGTCTAAATAAGAAAGCATGATTTCCTTTCAAATTAATATTTATTCGGCTGGATATAAAGATAAGATTGTTTTTTCAATAAATATTTTTAAAACTAATAAATTATCTATTAGATTTGACATTACTTAAAAGGAATTGTAAAAAATGTTCACTTATTTTTTATATATTATTTTTAAATTTTGCATGACTAAAATTGAGTAACTATTTATCAAATTTGAATAAAAAATTGTTCACTTTAAAGAATTTTTCTTTATTTCCCTTTCTTAAACGGTTTTTTAAATTCTTTAAAAATTCGTGTGAGAGTAATAATACTTAAAAACGACTAAGTTGCTCTTCCAGTGTTACATCACATTTAAAATTCTTACCTTTTGAAAATTCTTACTGGCACTGGTGGGACTTGAACTTGGACTCGTGAGCCACCTCTGGATTATGAGTCTGTTGCTTTAGGCACTACACCATTTCTTCGATCAATATAAACGTACATTTATTAGGTGGTAAACTTAATTCCTGCGGCTCACAGTTAGATGACATTAGTTGTAGGTGTAATTTATTTTGACATCTGCAACTGGCTGCATTTTAAAGGTTAGACATTTGTCAATAAAATTCAGTGCGAAGAGATTCATTTAAGCGAGCAGTGCTATTTTTTCTTTTGATTAAATATGGAACGTGATAAGTTGTTTTTTGACATGTGCTGCTTCATTACTTTGACTTGAAAAAAACTGCAGCTGCAGCTCAAAAATTGCTTTTCGAAGCTTATGGCAATTATGCTCCATTGGAAAAAACATGCCAAATATGGTTTCAGCGATTTAAGAGTGGTGATTTTGATGTCAATGATAAAGAACGCTCAGGCCAACCGAAAAAGTTTGAAGATACCGATTTGCAGGCATTATTGGACGAAAACTCTACTCAAACGCTCCAAGAATTGTCTGCAGCATTAAATGTTACTCCGATGGCTGTTTCCAAACGTCTACATGCAATGGGAAAAATTCAAAAGGAGGGAAAATAGGTACCACACGAATTAAACCGCAGGAACTAAGTTTACCACCTAATATAACATCAATATAATCTTACATTTTGTCTATATGTGTTGTAATGTGTTGTAAAGTAAATTAATAATTAGTTTGAAAAAATATTTGTTTAAAACTATTTCCTGAATTTAAATATATTAAAAATATTTCTTCAATTTTATTATATATATTTTTAAGGTGAATTATTGCTTATTACAATTTAATAAATAACCTCTTATTGTAACTAAAATATGTTTGAATAAATATATTTATTTAAATTGAATACATTTTTTTCAGTGTAGTATCTTAGGTCACTTTTTTAGGTGCAAACGCTTTCCAACCACTCACAGTGAATGTTTGCATCCAATAATTCACATGAGTAACTGAGCATTTACTGATTCGTTTCTACCAACATTGATTAAACTTTATTCTGGATTTAAGTCTTTATCAAATTAAGGTCTAATGAACTATATTAGAAATGGGTATAAGCATGCAATAAGAGATTGTGTTAAATATCCTACACTGAGGGATTATTCGTAAGCATTCAGTGAGCTATCTGTGATTCTGGATAACACGTATTGATTTTATTTTTTCGTTTTACCTTTGTTTCTTTTGAAGATCTTTAACGACGCTCGATCTAAGGAACAGTTTTAAATAGAAATTACCCGAGTATTGAACGTATGTTGCCCGCTGTTCAATGATAATAAAGATTTATTATCATTATTTATTATAATTAATATTATTAGTACATACACATAAACAAGCATAAAGAGTGAATACAACGTCATCAACGGTCTGTAACATTAAACCATTATTTTGACGATACTTTCACGATATTTTTAGTCATACCTAGGTTATTTTTTATCCTGAACTTACTTAGATTTGGATGTCATTTTGACGTAAGTCTGCTACCTGGGAGAGGTCTCAGGCTTGAATCTCAATACCCATACAGCACAGAAACTTGCAGCAACATTGCTACAACATTGCAAAATTGCATATTGCAATGTTGTAGAGACTTTGCAGTGACATTAATTTGGGTTATTATATTCCCAGATAGCCAAACCTGCGCGAACAGATTTCAGAATACATGTACATGTACATGTACTCTGACGCATATCTGGCGACAATTTAGCAGCAAGATTTGATATAACGAATCCTGCAGAGCTTGCTATCAACTTTTGATGGCAAATAGATAACAAATTTGATGCAGGATTTGTTATATCAAATCTTGCTGCTAAATTGTCGCCAGATATGCGGCAGAGCTTGTTGTCGGATAATTGCTGCAGATTTGCAGCAAAAACCGCGCAGAGCTTGTAGTGATTTCACGGCAGATTGACGGCAAAAACCGCGCAGATCTTGCTGCGCTGCAAGCTTTGCGCGGTTTTTGCTACAAATTTGGCACCAATTTCCCGACAGCAAGATCTGTCGCCAAAACCGTAGTCTAATGTAGACACAGATGGCTATAGTTTTGCTGTAGGTTTTTGATCAAATTTGCTGCCAATCTGCGCGCAGTCTGCGCTCAATTTGCTTACTGGGTTCTAAACAGTGCATTATATTACAATATAGGTCCACAATATTTATTATTCACCAGCTCACGTCAGAATAGACATCTCTGGTTTTACATATTAGTCCTAACAATTACATTCGAATATACATGTACATGTACAATATTTATTATACATGTACATGTATAATATTTATATGTAATATACATATACAATATTTACTATACAGCTCACGTCATAATAGACGTCTCTGGTTTTACACACTATTCAAAACAATAACATTCCAATGTACATCTACTATATTTATTATGCAGCTCACGTCAGAATAGACGCCTCTAGTTTTATATATTATTGGAAATAATTACATTGCAATTTACATGTACAATTTTTTTAATGCAGCTTACGTCAGCATAGACGCCTCTGGTTTTACACATTATTCCAAACAATTACATTACAATGTACATCTACTATATTTATTATGCAGCTCACGTCAGACTAGACGCCTCTAGTTTTATATATTATTGAAAATAATTACATTGTAATTTATATGTACAATATTTTTAATGCAGCTCACGTCAGCATAGACACTTCTGGTTTTACACATTATTCCAAACAATTACATTACAATGTACATCTACTATATTTATTATGCAGCTCACGTCAGACTAGACGCCTCTAGTTTTATATATTATTGAAAATAATTACATTGTAATTTATATGTACAATATTTTTAATGCAGCTCACGTCAGCATAGACACTTCTGGTTTTACACATTATTCCAAACAATTACATTACAATGTACATCTACTATATTTATTATGCAGCTCACATCAAAATAGACGCCTCTGGCTTTATCTATTATAGAAAAAAATACATTACATATAAATCTCTTCCATACGGTGATTTCTTCATATTTTATTTCTTCCATCACATGTCCAAACTTCGTGCGGTTTGTTGTGGAACTGTCAAATTTCACACCTGATCGTAGCTGTGTTCGGAAACGTCACTCGAATACTCTCCCTCTCTTTTTATCTCACTCTTGTATTTCGATCATTCCAACAGCTATCGTCTAATAGTGTGCACACAGTGTGTGTTTCCGAACGCAGCATGTATGTACACTTCAGGGGATACTGAATACCGACAATTTCCTAGCTTTCGTAGTTCAAACTTTTCTCCTAAACGACTGCATATAACTGCAAATGTTTTTACAATGTAAAAGTACAGATGTTAATGAATGGCTATGCACTCATGAAAAACAAAAAAAATTTTATATTTATCTGACACCATACCATATTTTTGCTTGTATGAAAAATTCTTCATACGCAAATAAAAAATGAAAGTGCAGCGCCATGCAGAAAACATTATAGAATATTATGAGGCTTTCAGAAAACGATTTCAAGGTCTATGTTAAACAAAAACTTTGAACTACGAATTGGTTGTACATGTGCTAGCGTATATATAATCATATGATAAATAGAATGGCATCGTAGTTCTAGTATTTTCCGATAGTGGCGCTCGTATCGCTACATCATTCTGTCCTTCTTTCTCTCTTGGTGAACAAAGATAGAATAATTGTTGCAGTGATTAAATCGCCAAACATAATGTAGCTATAACAAGAAAAACGCGTCCGTTTTGCAAGCACAGACTTATAAGCACTTTTTTCAGTCCTTCTGTTGGACGTTATACAAAAGTAAGAGCCCATCTATATAAAATGCAAGACGTCGGATCCAAATCGATTCCGACGATTTCCAATGGTACCTAGATAATGCTTTATATTCTCACTTGGTACGAAAAATTCTTTGTACCTAGATAAAAAATGAAAGTGCATCGCCATGTAGGAAACATTACAGAATATTATGAGGCTTTCAGAAAATTTCAGAAGATTTCAAGGTCTATGTTAAACAAAAAGTTTGAACTACGAATTGGTTGCACGCGTGTTGGCGTATATCTGGTTATTAGAACTCATTTACATAAGTTGTAGGGTATCGATTCTCGACATCATATGAATGAGATGCGCAAGTGAAAATCGTTTAGTTCATGTTATATATAATACTAATTTTCACATGCTCATTTTATTCGCACGATGTTGAGAATCAAATCCCAGGACACAGCATGCAGATCACTAGCTTGTCGCGACAGCCAATGAGAAGCGTCAGAGATAACCACTTCGAAGTTATAATTTTTTTTATGCAGCCCATCAGTTTGTAATGTGGAGAATTTATAATGTTGTAGTGCACTAACACGGTGGATTTTTGCATGTGCATCTGATTCGCACGTGATAAATCGGTACTCCACCTAGACGTCTTATGTAAATGAGCTTTAATGACCACATATACGCCAGCACGTGTGCAACCAATTCGTAGTTCAAACTTTTTGTTTAACATAGTCCTTGTTCTCACTACAAGGATACATTATATATGCATTAATCGTAAGAATATCGTTGGAGTCATTGGGAATCGTCGCGTGCTGCTCGATCATCAGGTTAAGCAACACTTTTAACGGAGTCAGGACATGGATTGGTGTCCGGTGGTATATACTGCTTGGGATCAAAATTATCGCAGGAGGATTCACGAAAGTTTGGAATGTGTTTTTGACAATCGATATCTAGTAGAGACATGAGAAAATTAGGAATATATAAATATATTTTTCTAAATATTATGATTTTCTTATTTTTCATCTTCGCATAATAATTCTCAATATTTGATTACTATCAATATTTAACAGTGATTTTATTATCAGTATTCACTAGAAATTAAGTATTGACCAAAATTACTGAATTACTGGTAATATTTAATCACTAATAATTTTTCAGTATTTCTTAGTATGATATTTCTATAAGGGTATGATTTGAGGTATTTATGGCAATTATAAGTAATCAAAAACGAAAAGCATGCGTGCATTTTATTTTCGGCCAAAAATTACAAAAAAATTATAGATTTCTTCTATACATTGTTTTATATATAAAAGTTTCAAATTATATTTGAAACAATTCTTTGTAGTTAATATTTGTTTAGACGTAGATAATAATGGAATAAAGTAAAAAAAAATGTATTCAATCTAAATAAATATATTTATCCAAATATTTTAGTTACATGTTATTTTTTAAATTGTAATGAGCAATAATTTACTTTAAAGATATATTTAATTTACTTTACTTACTTTAATTTAATTTACTTTAAAGATATATTTAATAAAATTAAAGAAATATTTTATCCAACGTGAAATTATTTTGAAACAAATAACGAATAAATGTTATTGAGATAACCGTTGCTCAAATTAAATAACTTATTCTATACAACTGAAAAATTTAATATTTTCAAATTGATAATATAACTTTAATTTAATACTTTTTCAAACCAATTAATTATTTTATTCAATAATAATACACTATTTTGTAAAAATTGTTTTACTCAAATTGGAAAAATGTCTGAAAATATCAAATTCTATTGATATCGTTTATTCAAATTAAAGAAAATATTTTCTTAATTAAAATTTTTGGATATTGTAAAAAAGAATAAAATATTTATTTAAGATTAATTGTTTTAAAACAACTATAATCTATTTAATAATAATGATCTAGATTATTAGGTTATAAATAGGTTATATAATTTTGGTTTGAATATACTGAGAACTATATTTTATGCTTACAACTGCGTAGTTAAGTAATTATTTGGGAAAATCTTTTACATGTCTTGACATTTCTTTTCACATTTTCTATTAGAACAAAAAAAATAATGTAGTTAGCGCAAGAAATTTAAGTGCGACAGCCTACAGTTTTGCTTGTAATTTACTTATTACAGGGATATTATTTGAGTGCGACGAATTATATCGCACTTACATCGTCAGTTGACAATTTACCAGCATTATGATGTTTACGAGTGTAGCATTGATCGTAATATGTACTGGTATAATCTACCTAATCTCGAATTATCTTAAGTGGTTACGATTCGTTCAAGTGGGAAATGCATTACCGGGACCAAAACCACGATCAATTATTGGGAACGTTTACTACTTTTTAAAAAACAATTTTGACGGTAATATTATGGTTTATATATTTTTCAATTTTATAAGTAAATAAATATATTTTGCAAAAGTAATAGTAAATATTAATAAAATTATAAATGGCATCTCACAAATTGCCACTCAAATTATTCACTGTAATAAATTTGAACCTTGCCACTAAAATACGATCAAAACATTATTATTTCTGAATAACTATTTGATATTTATTTGTTAAAAAATTATCATTAAATACATACAATCGCTTAATAATAACATATTTTTGAAAAAATTTCAGAAATGTTGAACAGTACGTATTTGCTCGTGGATAAATACCCATCTCCATTTCGAGTGTGGTTGGGCAACAAATTATTTATTGGTATAAGCGAACCAGACCAAATAAAAGTAAGAGTGCAACGTTTTTATTACTTGTTTATTAATTTGTTTATATACCGACAAAAAACAGCATTTGGGTCAAATCGACTGTTTAAACACACCTTCAAAGGAATACGAATAATAATAAATAATTATAGCTTGAAAACATTACGCGATACTATAACAGTAAGTTGCGTTAATATAGTGACTAATCTAATTGTAACTATTGAATTAATTGATAACTTGTTGCAACAACGATATAATTCGTTTAAACATTTTCATGACTGAATTTGGTTTGTTCAAGCAGAGACTCATTAATTCAACAATTTCTTTTTCTCAATGTATCAATGAATTACAAACAATTATAAGTTAGTGTTGTTGTCTATCCCGGCGACCAATTATGTTTGATAGCAAATTGTTATCATTTTTGGCCACAAACAATTTTTTCGACAATTTTTAATTATATATTAATTAACGATGAGTATCCTAGACGTAATAACGAAACGATCATATTGAGTCCGTTTTATATATTGCAGATTATTCTTCAAAACTCTAGCTGCTTGAATAAAAGCGCAATATATAAACCCTTCAGAGAGCTCGTAGGAATGGGGATCTTTACTGCTCCTGGTGAGATAAAAAACAAATTTGTTTGTAACGTATGTAATTATTGAACAATATGATACGCAAAAAATGCATAGATATTTTATGTGATATCGGCCGGATGCATTTCATGGCATAATTTATTGTATTAGTAATAACACAAGAGAATATTTATGTTACGCTCACTTTAAGTAACAGCACAAACTTTATTAATTAATAATACTTGCCTATCTTGATATCCGTCGTAGTAATGCCCTATAGTTTCTATATAGATATGTACGACTCAATGTTTATCAGAGAATTCACTTTTACTTCCTCATTTATTCTTCCAAATTCTCCATGTACATATGAGCTCACCAAAGTACCTATTAATATAATAAAATCAATGTGAACATATTGAAATGAAATTTTGGAAGATGTAATAACCATTTATTTGCGAGTACGAAGCACGTACCGCGCGTGACGAATATGTTAGGTATACGCAGCAAATAATAGTGGCCGATATAGTCACGCACATACGCAAGCACGCACACACACACACACACTCAATTTAATGAATTTCTAAAAAAAAAATTAAATGAGCTAATAATCTATTTGTGCATTTACAATACCGGCCACATTTTTAAATTTAAAGTTATCATAAACGCGTAATTATCACGAGGTATTGCATCTAATACCCAGCAAACGCAATAATATAACAGTTACATTGTCGTAACATGTTTGTTACATTAACATATACGTTAATTGTAATTTCTCATTCAAATATTGCAGCTATGTAACAGAAATATAACGTGTTACTAAAATGTTATATAGCTGTATATATATTGCTAAAATATTATATAGCTGAAATATAAATTACTTGTATTATTTCCTAGTAATTATATTTAATTGTATGCAGAGATTACAAACTATCGCTCAATTTAAAATATCAATTTGTAAAAGTATGCTTCTTAAAATATTATAAATATTTTTAGTAAAGATAATAGCATAAAAATATCTTGTCATTTTAAATTAATTAGCTCTCAAATAATACAAGATATTCCAGAATCATCCTAAAACCATTCTAGACGTCTAGTGTCCCAGCATGTCCTCAGACATTTTATGCTATTGGAGCTATTTTCATTTATTTATTTCCATCTTTCTGTATATATATTCAAATAGAAGGGATTATTATGGTGACACTAACTTCCATTAATCAAAAAGTATACTATAAAAGTGAAATATACACTTCACTATACTATAAAAGTGGACTCCATAGTACAAGTTGTGCTGTCTTGTGATCATCGTTCTTATATACACGGTGGGCCATTTTAATCTCCCCACCTGAATTTCTCGTAATCTAAGTCAGATAGAGAAAAATGGTCCAGACAAAAGTAGAAGGGGACAGAGGGGGTCACGTAATGGTACCAAGGACCTTGACCTTGAACTCGATTTTCAAGGTTATTTCAAGGTCAAAGTGATTTTTTTAAATGGGAACACCTATTTTTGACCCCGGATTTGAAAAGAGCGGGAAATTTTACGTTCAAAATGATATGTTAATCAAGGTCATGGCAAGGTCGAATGAAGGTCAGGTTTGCGAATTTTGATTTCCCAATTGAATATATCGGAACCTAAGCCAAATACGTAAAATTGGTTCAGACAAATGTTAAAGGGGGCCGAGGGGGTCACCTATCTGTACTCTGATCTTGACCTTGAACTCAATTTTCAAGATTATTTCAAAGTCATAGTGATTTTTCAAAATGGGAATCACTATTTTCGAGGGTTTCTTTAACTGTATTAACCTTACTTTCAGCGCTACCCAGAAACAACGACGTGGACGTAGTAAGTACTGTTTCCTTTGGGGTGCTGGATTAAAGTGAGTCCCCTCGCCTCTCACTATTTTAAAAATTATTAATTTAATTTTGAAGCAAATGTTCGAAGTTGCCTCCATTTGCTTGAAGGCATAAAATCAAACGTCTTTGGAAATGGCGTACGGTGTTAAGAGGAGTTTGCCTTGGAATTGCAGCGCATGCTTGACGAATGCGATCTTCAAAGTTTGCTCTTGTTGTGGGCTGTTGTTCGAAAACAATATTTTTCAAATAGCCCCATAAAAAAAAATCTGGGGATGTGAGATCGGGTGAACAAGCAGGCCAATTAACCGGACCGCCTCGTCCAATCCATCTCCCATAGTAATTTTCA